AAGAATATCAGGTTACACAAATAGCAATATACATAAAACTGGCCTAACCAAACGGACCGAACTTTGACTCTCTAGTGGACGAGGCTCAAGTAACTAAGCAAACTGAGAATGGGTTGACTACAGTCGACAGATTGCAGAAAGGCCGGAATAGAAAAAATGGTCTAGGTGGAGTCGGCTTAAGGTATATTATTAGGCTGCTCATGAATGGTTGTCAAGCCAGTAAGAGGGGGGCGTCTGTGAAGGAAAAATTAATGAGTCAAAACGCGAGACGTTAGTAGAGCGAGTTAAAAATAACTGTCGGAATATATGAATGAATGCCTGGTGACGGTCACTTAGTACAATAAAGCTTAAAAGTCCGAGTTAGCGTCTCTCGGACAGCACTGGTTGTTTCGGCCCAAGCATTCTCCTGTGTATAGGTTTCCACGAGGAAGACCGACAAGTGCACATGAAAACCTATAATAAGATTGTGAAGACTAACTGTCAGAAAGCCCGGAAAAGACACCAGCTGTACATGCATCTGCAAGGATTATATTATCAGAGCCCAATAAGCCTCAGATTAAAGGATACCAGATTATCCGTAAAATAAATGGTCTGAACGACATGGCAAATAAAGGTTGTGTTTCAAAAAGCTACTTAAGAGCAATCGACGGGCGTTGGATAGAGCCCAACTGCCGAGGAGCAGATAAGCAGACGGAACACATAACTCACTCAGGACTGTCAAAGTAGTGCAGGTGCTTGCGCCACTTTTTGATCATTCCATCCCAAGCTCGTCTGGAGACGGTGCGGAATTTATTCGGAGTTTGTGGGTGATGCTTTTGACGCTCTGGTTTCGGAATTGTGAGAACATATTCCGCATATCTTTCCGTCACCTTGCCCATGTCAATGTCTCGTTGACGACGCAACAGCTCCAGCTGACGTCTTTCCAGTTCAAGCTCGCCATCAAACTCGCCCTATTGACGAAGTAAAAGGATAACTAGTTAGCTGTGATGACTTAGAACGTTAGCGGAAAACCGAAGCACAGCCAAAGGGAGGTGGAAATTACAGTGATTACGACAGAAACTTCACGTCTTACACACTTTGAGTCAAAACCCGGCACAGCCATCCTACTCGAATATTCAAGTTTTGCCTAACAGATTTCATCGTAAGGTGAGGTTTCCATCCATTCAAACTACTCTGTCTTACGCCGGAAAAAGGACGGTTATCACCAGTGGGTGTAACATACTTGGACGGATCAGCTGGTGAATAGTCATTGCATGCATGGGATAGAGGTGGAGCTAAGATTCTGGACGAGAAGGACAAACAACCAAGTCAACAAAAACTATCGAGGTCGGCTAATAGACAGACAACTCGAGTACAAAAATGTAAAACGTGGATTTAGGAAATTCCAAACACATCACAAAAGGAGTTATTTCCAATGCATCTTCAAGCGTTGTGAGGGGTGATCTTTGTCAATGCTAACTTTAAAACAAAAACAAGATGGTATATTTGTCCACGCGAAAATTTTGTTCCTCCCTAATAAACGCGCAGATTTGCCGGAAGCTGACGACTGCGCGAGTCTTTCAAAGAAATGTCATCGGTCTTATTTCTACTTTTGGGTACTTTCGGCCATGAATAGCGCTAGGATACAGCTATTGGAAGTCCGAAAGTTAAATTTATTGGATAAGCCTCGGTTTTGTTAAAGGGTTTGGCAATGTCTTCGTAACGACGCACGCAGGACTTTTAGGTAATTGGCAAATTGATTAAAAAGCAAGGACGGCTACGCCGGAAGAAGTGCAAAAGTCTTCATGCATTGAACGTACCCTCATAGAGTATCTACGCTTCAATTTATCTTCGTATTTCTGTAGGTCCTCTTCAGCATCATCGCTCAGGAGCAAGTCACTGGCCCAGTCACCTTTAGTCTTGTACTGACTAAGCCGTTCCCTAGCACGACGGATTTCAATGTAAGGATCGTATTTTGGATGAAATCGTCGCTTACCAACCTAAGATAAGATGTGTTAGGCATAAAAAATTGAAGTTACATCTGGCAGGTTGAGTAGCGAATGATTAGACTCTCCAGAACGACGGGAATCGCCACCTATTGATGGACGAAGGGAGGACCGGTCACGACCCACAGGAGTGGACATGCGTGGCGCGTCCCGCGAATGCCGGCTCCTCCGTCGGGAACGCGCAGAGAAACGTGGAGGCAGTTGGTCATTCTGACGTTCACTCTTTTCGGAACCATTAACTGACT